ACAGCTTGCTTTATCAAGCGCGTGATGTTTTCCAGTGTATTACGTTAAAAACTAGAAATTGACTGAATAATTGCTATGGGCATAAAAAGACATGAATTATTAACATAGATTAACATCGTATCAGTGATAGCAGTTCAGCCATAACTTAATTAAAGTTTGATTGATTGGTGTTAATGCTTTACATTTTTTTGGGCCTAGTGCAGACCTGGCAGGCATGATTATTTTTTAACGGTAGATTAAGGGTAGCATCCGTTTCTGGACGTAAATTCTTGGAAAAGTATCAGTATTTGGCTGGATTTCTCTTAGAGAAGGTTCCACAAAGAATTCTGGTCCGCTGTATGCGGATAATGTTCATATTGTTTCATGTGTTCCAATGTCCTTACTTATATAATGCAAAAGAATTTGATCACAAGGTACACCTACATACCTGGGTAAAGACAATCCTTTTGGCATCCATTGAAACAACATATTTGTCCAAAATTACAGCTAGCGTTACTGCGGCACATGTCCCCGCGTCGGTCACAAATCCCATCCTTTCCTTTCCATGGTTTTGGGCACTTTTTCACTGGAAACAAATTTAATTTATCATAATCACAAAACATTGCAGCGGTAAAGTGGTTGTCGAAAACATACGCAGCAATTTTGAGAGTGCAACTCTGGACAACATCAATAAACACTACTAAGGCATGAAAAAGAGGAACACAACAACTCCCATCATGCTTTGTTGCACAAAATGAAGAAGCATTGGCATTATGGTGTCAATCATTACAATTAACCAAGAGTGCTTTGCTCACYTTCTTTTAGAATGAATTAGTTTCAATTGTTTTACTTATCTCCAAAGGATAAAAAATCGGAATAAGAATGATTATGCACAAAGCTTTCTGATAGTTGTAGTTAAGTTAGGTTATCATCCAAGCGCACTAGTCATCTTTATTCAATTGATGTATTCSCAAATTTTGAGGATATACCTATCTATCTTCTATTCTATTGTAGGCTATGCTGCCATGATAACCAATCAACAAGATATAAGTTCTTCGCTTAAATATCAATGGCGCTTTTGAAAATCACTGTCCACTAATATTTTCTTATTTATCTCTGTAAACATTGATACAATATTGACTTTAATATTAACTCCATAGATATTAGAGCAATTAGCTGTAATTGATTTGCAGTCAGGTGCATTTCTTACCTTTCTTACATTCTCCATTATGTTTCACGGTAATCATTTGCTCACCAGCACAAGCAGCAGCTTTCATTCCGCACAAATTACCGTACGTTACTCCGTCCGATCCACAGACTGGCGTGTAGTCCATGGTACACATGGTTGGACATTCACAAGTCGYGTTGCCGTTCATGTCGGTTTTACACATGCCATAGAAAGGACACGTGACGTTGTCGCAAGGATCTGAGCACGAAGAGAATTGTAGAAGTTTATATGCCTTTCTCATCTGTAGGTAATGTGTGTAGTGRCCGATATAGTCACGTGGTCGACTTTCGACCAATGAGAGCGGAGGAGAATTTTCGATTATTTTCGCTTCATTCCATGCTGCCATGGTATATCATGAATATACCATAGTTAAGTGGCCAATCAGAATGCTGGGATT